CGCCTGTGGTCCCAGCTACTTGGGAGGCTAAGGCAGGAGACTCGCTTGAGCCCAGGAGTTGGAGGTTGCTGTGAGCTGTGATGCTACAGCACTCTACCTAGGGCGACAGCTTGAGGCTCTGTCTCAAAAAAAAAAAAAAAATCCTGAGATTATAGACCTGAGCCACAACCTGGCCTGTTCTTCCATTTTAAAGACCAACTGTTCGTCATCTCTTTCCCCATTATCTAAGGAAAACTGCCCATGGGCAGGAGCCCTGCCTACAGGGGCTCCCAGCGAGGCATGAGGCACTGGCACAGTCGGTGCTCAGCATGTTATCTGTTTAATAGACAAAATGGCTCACAGAGCTTTGTGGAAGTTGAATTTGGGTTTTCAAAGTCCACCCTAAAGGTAAAACTCAAGTCAGTGCAACTTGGCAAGACTTTGCTTAGCCCTGTTCAAGGTCCAGAGCTTGTCCACAGCTCCATGGTGGAAGGGGCTTGCTGGCTCTCATCTTGGCTTCGCCCTAAGGCTTTCTTTGCTTCTCTCGCCAGAAGAGACAGAGGATGTGAATGAGGAAGCCCTGATGAGGGACCGTTCCCACATTGAGAAAACCCTGATGCTGAACGAGGACAAACCAGCTGATGATTACTCTGGTAAGCAGGGCAGGGAGTGGGCCTGGGCCTAGGCTAGGGGCACAGCAGAGACTACAGGGAAGGGGAGAGCCCTAGGGTGGGTGACTCTGTGGGGGAGACTCTGTGAGCAGGTCCAAGGCTGGGGCTCCAGACAGGCAGAGAGGGAGAGGATGATGGAACAGAGAGCAGGGTGAGTGGCGAGGATGGACCCCCATTGCTGCTGCTGTGCTGTGGGAGGGGAGGATGGTTAGTAAGGATTCCTCTCCTTTGCTTTGATTTTTTAGTTTATAAATCCCTTTCAGTCCAGGGGTTTACTTTACTCTCATAACAACCCAAGGATCTCAGTGGGGCTTGGTGTCTCCTCTTTCTGGATGAGCCAGCTAGGCTTGGGGCTGTAATAGCAGGATCTGCTCCTGGCTTGGGGTAGAGACTAGCAGGACCCTCAGTCCCACAGCCTTCCTCTATGTGCCTCACACTGTGCTCTTCTGGAGAGGACACTTGGGTCGTCTCCAGGAGCATGGGGGAGAGCAGTGGCTTCTGGGAATGCAAGGGCCAGGGTGTCAGTTCGTCATCAGAGCCTCAGGCAGCACCTGCAGAGGTGGACAACAGGGAGAGAAATGGAACTCTCATCTGCCAAAGGAAGGGCCTTTGGGAGGGCTGCAGGCTGAGGCATGGACACACTTTTGAGGTGGGCAGGGAGGAAGGGATTAGGTTTAAAAAATAACAATAGCTCAAGAGGCTTTGAGGGGCGGGTAGGAGAATACCCTTTGGTTTGAAGATTTCTGAGGGCTGAGGTGTATATCAGCTCCACAAATGCTAGTATGTCACATAGTCACTGGGCTGCATGTAGGGTGGGAGACTCTTCCACAGTGGAAGAGCCTACCAGAGCCCAACCTATCTGATGCTCTCCCCACGTCCCTCTCTGCCTTCAGCGGTGCTGCAGCGACTTCGAAAGATCTACCACTCATCCATCAAGCCCCTAGAGCAGTCTTACAAATACAACGAGCTTCGGCAGCATGAGATCACAGGTACAGCTTGGGGCCTATAGTTGGGGGCCTGCACCTCTGACCCACCCAGGCTTCCCTGGTGCCCACACAGGTTCACAAGTTCCCAGTGAAATGTATGCAAGGATGCATGGAGTTGAGCCCTCTACTCTTTTTGGAATAGTGCATGGCACTCTAAACCAGTGTTTTTCAACCTTTTTTATTTCACAGAACATTTGAACCTATGGTTAAACTTCCTTGCTATGCTTAAATTATATCGATCAAAAAAAGACTAGAAAAACAAATATACTTACTGTGCTTTGAATTTCTTTTGAAAGTAATTTAATTAACGATCTTTAAAAATTTTCCCAGCACACCTAGTATCCTTTTATGGCCACACTGACTGAAAAATCACTGCTCTAAAGGGTTTCACGGATAGCATTTCATTTGCAATCATCTGTGCTTTAGTAGCGCAGAGTTTGATTTCTAATGGCCTTGATGCCAACTTCAATCCCTCCTGTGCTGAAGAGCCCAGAGGTGCTCCCTGCTCATTTACAGACTAAAGTCCTCCCACTGGCCTAGATGTCTCCTCTCTTCCTGTGGCTCTTCCCAGTTGGTTGCCGTGGGGCCTGGATTCTTTTAAAAATTGTTTTTTAACGTAATAAGAGCAAGACATACTTGCTGCAAAAGAAGTTTGAATACTGCAGAATGGTATCTATTGAAAAAGAGAAATTCCAGGCTCGGCCCCTCGAGCTCAGTGGCTAGGGCACCAGCAACATACACTGGAGCTGGCGGGTTTGAATCCAGCCGGGTCTGCCAAACAACAATGACAACTACAACAACAACAACAAAATAGCTGGGCATTGTGGTGGGTGCCTGTAGTCTCAGCTACTTGAGAGGCTGAGGCAAGAGAATTGCTTAAGCTCAAGAGTTTGAGGTTGTTGTAAACTGTGATGCCACGACACTCTACCCAGGGTGATTAAAAAAAAAAGAAAGAAAGGAAAGAAATTCCATTCTTAATTTCCAGCTTCTTTTATTATACTCCCCAACACACTGTTAATAGTCTCTTGTGAATACTGCCAGATATTTCCTTTGCATGTGAGCATTAAAAAGTCTTTTTTTTTGCTTGTTGCTTTTTTACAGAAATGGAATTACATCATGCAACGGGTGTATAGTTTTACCTTATTCCTTCTGCTTGTTCTTCTCTTATGTGAATGAACCATATTCATATTCTGTGAGATAAGACCCCCACCAATGGGCAACAGGGTGTTTCTCATTTTCCAATTTTTAAAATGTTACAGATACTATTATAATGATTACATATTTTGTGCAAGCATATTTGTAGGGTGAGTTTTGAAAACCAAAACACTAGAATTAGACGTTTTGCTGGTGTTGCCAAATTGCCTTTGATTATACCAATCTGTACTAAAATAACAGTAAATAGACAAGAGCTCTTGTTGCCCCCATGGCAATGTCATTTTTAAGTATTACTCATCTTCTGATATTTTAACAATGGTATCTTACTGTTTTGCAATTACAAACATTTCCCTTTGTTAACTGGCTATTGCTATATGATCTTATTTGACACTCTCTATGGCTATAAAGTGAGTGGGGATTCTAGGGTTGATATTCTTCCTATTTTACAGAAAGGGAACCTGAGGCCCAGAGAAGTACTGGGTTACCTGGGACCATACAACTGGATTAGGAGCTGTAATTTATTAATTATCCTTGGACAGAACTGCTTTGCTCCACAGCTTCCCAACTGAGAGTCAGTTGTCCTCTTCCACTCTGTAGAGCACACATGGACATTACTGTGAGGATACACAATCTCCCAATGGCTTTCCTCTGTCCTCTGCACTTGTCTTTTCACCTAACCCTAAGATAGATTAGAGTCAGGCCAGGTGCTCTAACCTGTAATCCTAGAACTCTGGGAGGCAGAGGTGAAAGGATCCTTTGACCTCCATAGTTGGAGACAAGCCTGGGTAAGAGTAAGCCCCGTCTCTATTAAAAATAGAAAAATTAATAGCTGGACGTTGTGGTGGGCACCTGTGGTTCCAGCTACTTGGGAGGCTGAGATAAGAGAATCACTGAAGCCCAAGAGTTTGAGGTTGCTGTGAGCTGTGATGC